CTCTCATCACTGTCGTCTCAATTCATGCTTACAAAGCAACATCAAGCACCAGACTGACATCGCTGACCTGCTGGCCAGCCAGATCCTCAAGCACGGGTATCAGGTCGAGAAGCTCGTTGTCGTGTGCGTCAGAGAACCAGCTGCTGATGGGAACGGCATGTTGCGGGTGGAAGATGTACGACGTGGGCGAGTTGTCGATGATGATGGTGTCCTTGAGATCGCGACCGATCTGTGAAAGGTCCTACAATGTGTTAGGAATTGAGAAGCAGGATGATGTAAGTAAACATACTTTGACATAGTTGCCCTGATGGTTGTAGCAACTTTCGCGGAACAGTCGGTGATGGACAACACCGTGGATGTCAAGCTGGTCGAGAAGTGGGTCACCGTACTGTAATGGTCAGCATACATCATGTATTAGGAAGAGTTCAGACCAAGCTTACCTTTGATACGGACGCAGTGAACACAACGACCTCGTAGAGCTCGCCCACTCTCTTCATGAACTGATCGACGCCAGGTCGCTTGATGACATAGACATTGTGGTATTGTCCTTCGATCTCAACAGGGATGGTGAAGTCGGCTTGATGCAGAATCTGGTGCCGCATTAGTAAACAGAAGCAAACGCTCTATGTATCACACATACCTTAAAGCTGCTGTGGACCAAAGTCTCGTCCAGGTCGAGAACCAAGCACTTCTTCCCTTGGAACCTAGGTGCAATGGGTCCCAAAAGATACTTTTGTGGCTCGGCCGCCTCAGCTACATCCGCAGTCTGGTGTTGCACTGCAACCTGCCTCTCGACGAGCGGCGGGGGTGGAGGTAGATCAACCTTGGGGTGCTCAGCCTCAGCCTCTGCATCCTTCTCCTCTCCCTCTTGATGAACATCATTGGTCGATAGCGGCACATCCTTCATCTCAATGTCGTTGTCGATCTGCTTCTGCTCCTCGGTCTGGTCCTGTATTATGCGCTCCTGCTCTGCTGATGGCCGAGGAAGTACCGGAGTAGCGGTGGGCGTAGGGTTTGTGATGCTTATCTGGGGATGGCCAGTCTGTAGAGTACCGGGCTGGGGTGGGGACACTGCTTCTGTTTGCTGCTTCTGGGATGGGCTTCTTGTGATGACCGGGGGCGGCGTTTCCACTGCTGGCTGTTCGGTTGTGCCATCGTTGTGGATGGGTTTCTCAGCAAGACCTGCTCCTGATGTCTCGGTTCCAGTCTTCTCATCAAGCGGGTCTTTTGAGTCCGTGTTGCTGGACTCAGCAACAGTAGGCTCCTGCTTCTTAATAGGAGTTGACTGAGACGTGCGGCCGGCGGGCACCTTCTGAGCTTGCTTGACATTTTCCAAAGGCGTAGAGTCGTCTCGCGATTCCTTTGGTGCAAAGCACGGCAGGCAGGACAACAGACCCCCAGACTTCTTCGTCTTACTCCGTGTCGATGCTGGACGGTTCGCTGTGGCAGGCATCGGAGGCGGTTGTTCGTTCTTTTCCGAGGGTGCAGCACGCGGGTGAGAGCGTTTGCTGCTCGCCGTGCTGCCAGCTCGTCGCTTGCCCATGAAGCTGCGCTTCGAGTGCTTGGAGCCTCGCCCAATACTTTCGGCGTCTGCTGCAGTTGCGCCGCTAAGGCCGGTGTTGGGGGTCTCGTTGGATTGCGACGCGGACTGGGGGACGTTCAAGAGGGTGCGCTTTTGGTTCGAATCGCCTTCAGCAGGGGCAGACGACGGGCCTTGTGACGAGGATTGACCTGGAGCGAAGGAGTTGGTGGCAATGGCGTTTTGCATGGCAGCTGCATTGTGTTAGTAATCAAGTCTTGGAGGGCGATGGTGGGTGATGGCGGTGGTGGTGGTGGTGTTGGTGATGATGATAGATCCAAAACATACCGGTGCCGTTGGCCTGCTCCGACGACCCTACTGCCCTGTCGGTAGACGGGCGGGTTGCGTCAGCAGAGAGCTGCGTCGGCTCGGTGCTCATGGCTGCGCGTCGAGTAAGTCAGACGCACAACGCGCAGGTGAGTTTGACGTGTAGTGATAGGCTTGGGTCGGATCAGAGGGCTCCTTGGGTCGTCGCGTGGTGGAACTCGCTCGTGGGTGGGAGCGGTGGATGGCTGGCTGGCAATGGCGTGGCCCGGTCGCGATTGCTTGGATTGATGCGCGAGATGGAAGGAGCGATCGCCTTGTCTCGCAGCTGTGGCAGTCGCTATCGTCGAGGGAGTCCGAGGGAGAGAGCGAGGGCGACGGGGAGCGAAGCTTGGATACGCTGCTTGGGATGAGGCTGGTTCGCTAAGGTGGACGGAAATGAGACGCCGTCTTTCACCGTCATCAGCGCCAAAGCTCCACAACAACCGCCAGTTCACTTGAGCAGCACGGCTTCTCTCACACGTTCGTTGGCGCGACGGCGACGGCGATTGCAATGTAGCCTTTGTATTCTGTGGTAGAGGCAATGCGCTCACAACGATGGCATTCTGCGAGCTGTATCGGGGCTGTGCAAGAGCTGCCACACTCAACAGCGACAGGGGCCTCTTGATGGGGGACCCCCAATAACCATGCCATTTCGCCCCTAGCCTGCATTCGCCCTAGCCAGAGAGTGCATGGCCAGGCCCATATACAATACCCTCACTCCACGCTGCACATCTCCAAGGGAGGACTATTCATCATTCATTTGCCCAATCACACCCTCCACTGCATCGCGGAGCAGGCGCGTCACACAGGGAAATGACAGCCAAGCATCTTGATCAAAGGCACATTAGCCAGAGCCCACAGCGAACACTTGCATTCTGCTTTGCCTCTAGACTCTAGACAATTACGCTTCGAGCCCTGCATAACCTCGTCTTCGCCAAACTTTTAAAGGCGACCGACTCCCAGGCCATGCGACCGTTCGTGCGGCCACAAGCTTGCAGGTTGACTCACGGCTAGGAACTTAGGCGCCATGGTACGGGGACGCGACGTCGCCCTGGCCTATCACAACCCACATCAGCCGTAAGACCCGATGCGCTTCTGCCGCCATATGCTGGTCCAATATTGAGTGCGCCGGCATTATCCTTTCATCGATGCGCAGGAGTCACCAGCCGACTCTCAACATAACCGTCATGGCCATCGTCGTCGCAGCATCAGCGCGCTGGAGTCGTTGCTCTTGCTGTCACATGTCAGAGCCTGTCGTGTTCCACAGTGGCAAGCGCTGTGCAGGGCGGCCCGTCGCACGTCTGCCGATCTTGCAGCTTCATGCGATGGCATCCATGTCCACAGAGTCACGAGTCGCCATCCTTGGTGTGCGCCTACACGCTAATCGTCATCGCCGCTGTGGTGGTGTAGTAATATACTTCGACGCAAGAGGCTCCCCGCAAAGCGCGCCATTGCCGAACGATTCCAAGAGATAAGATTCGCCCTCACAATATCCGGAGAATACGAGCCGACGATCAACCGACCGTTGCGTGCTAATCTCATCCGACCAGCCTCAAGTCGCACATGCGAGGTGGCCAAAATAGACGTTTTCGTCACTGTACGACCTTCTCGAACGGTGTTCAAAATAGTGGTAGTATTTACACATTCTAGCGGCACAAACTGTTGACATGTGCATAGCCAACGAGTATGCCCCTTGAGATTAGTCGAATCTCCTATGCTCAAAGGTGGTGTCTTACAAGTTCTGCACAATGCTTCCATTCCCTCCTTCGCAAATTGTTCCGGGACATAGGTAAATTCTTCCCAATTTTTCTGGCTGAACAAATTCTATTCTAGCCGTGCCGTCCAGGATGATAGTTGGCCATGTCGCCCTGCGTTCGCTCTGTAGTAGAGATTCTTTGGTATAATTCGCCCCATGTTCAGCAATGGTGATGAACCAGCAGGACATGTATGCGACTCCGGCGGTGTGCATGCACTGCTATGCGGCTCCTGACGAGCCAGATATAGGTGAGAAACTCTGATGGTGCACGCGTCTGGAAACTGTTTCGCATACTTTCTGAAGCTTCACATAGCGGGCGCATCGACTGCATATAGCTTCTGCAGCTCACCAACTCAGCCTAGTGCTAACGAAAGGGGGCCTAGGGGCGGGAACTACTGGCACTACGACTTCGCCGCACCAATCACGACTATTTTGTTTTCTGTTTTAGCTATTTGGGAAGACGACTGTCTCCATGTCACCCCCAAAAGAGCTTCGGAGTTGGAGCTAACAGACGGAGTTTTGGCGATCTGTGCTAAAACACAATCTCATTGGTTTCTCTAGACCAGAGTGGAGAATGGCGGGTGTCTCTGAGTGGCGCGCGCTCCGTTGATCGTACGTTGCTTGTTCTGCGCCAAATCCGTAGCCTTGCCAGCAACTTTGTTACAAGATCTGGCATAAGAAATCGATCGCCTTGGCGAAGGCAATTGAGTGACAAATGCGGTACCTCCTGTGGTAGACTTTGAATGGGAAAGCTACGGGCTTGCTCGGCTCAACAGTATTTCAATATTGTCGCAACGTTTACAACCAAGAACATCAATGTCGGCACATCAGTGGGGGGATACATTCCATGGCCTTATACTGAACTATGGCTTCATTGTCGGGTGTCCAGACTCAAGCTTCCGGTCGCTACAACGTTGTCGCCGAAAACGTGGAGTATTCGTCAGAGCTCCACACCAGACATGTGCCGTGCAGCATTTTAGTCTACGGGTCTTCTCGAGCAAAAAAGCAAACACCGGCAATGCTTTGAAGTAGGTACTCGCCCGCCAGCCACACCGAAACAACGGTTTTGTTTATGTCGACCAAAGTCATCAACGATTTTTACTATGAACATTCTCACTCGTAAGACGCAGGTGGCACATGCATAGGAGTATAGTCCGAAAACTGGTTCCCGGCGATGAGACTAGATCGTATGCCTGTTTCGATGTATATGTCGGGAAAAAGCAGTGCATGAATGACAGGAGCGAAGGGGTTTAAGATACTTGCGAGAGCCATGCATTATTGCGATGGTTGAGGTGTGAGCTGAGCTGCCCAACTTCCACTCCTTCTCGTGATTGATTCACGTCGCCATTTGCTTCGACTATGGCGCTGGCTACTAATTTGCAGCCGCTGGCTTATGCCGTGGCCTACGTTACCTTCTTTTTGGGCACCACTTCGACTTTCTTGAGATTCTACTGTCGCTACATTGTATCGAGGATTTGGGGATGGGATGACTACTTCGCTGTGGTGGTCTTCATCTTCAGTCTCGCTCAGCAAGGTGTTTTGCATATGTTTTTGTACTGGGGATGCGGATTGTAAGGACCACAGCTACTTCAAACCGAGAAGCTAAGGCTAACATATATATGCAGACATATGGATGTTCTTAATACCATTCAGCAATTCGAGATTGTCAAGGTATGTCCATGTCCGAGACGATTCAGTAACAGTACTGTGCTGACGAATTGCATCAGTGGCTTTTTGTCGAGGAGATAATCTACTACTCTGTTCACTGGGTCATTAAATCCGCTTTTCTCTTCTTCTACCTCCGGTTATCGCCCGAAATTACCGCCTTCCGGTACGCCGTCTACGCTGGCGTGGGTTTGAACACTATTGTATGGGCGTGCAATATGTTAGTCATCCTCTTGTATTTGCCTCACACCCGTACAAGACTAATGTAGCATAACCAGGCTTCTTGCTTGCATTCAGTGCTTGCCTTTTGACGAAATCCTGCATCCAGGCACGCACGCAGACGCCTACTGTATGCACAAACTTATCGTCCTCATCGGACCATGCTTATTGGTAAGCACCCCTTCTTATTCTATTCTCAAATCCCCCCAGCTAACCTGGAACCCCTCTTAGAACATCGCCTTGGATCTATATATCCTCATTCTGCCCATTTCCACCATCTGGAGCTGCCAATTGCCTTTGCGTCGCAAGGTCGCCGTCCTCAGCGTTATCGCATTCGGTAGCATATCCGTCATCATCGCAACATTCCGCCTGATTCCCCTACTCCAACTCGGTGACCAGTCCGGTGAGCCCATTGATACCTCTTGGATTCTAGGTAAAATGGTCATCATCGCCTCACTTGAGGTGCAATTCGCCATCGTCGCCGTCAACCTCCCTCTACTCAAGAAACTCTTCACAAGCCTCGCAGACGACGATAGTCTAGTAGAAGCACCACAAGACTGGAAGTGGAAAGCCCGCAGACTATCCTCAAACTGCAGCGACGACTCGGAAGATGACGATTTCTATGTTTCTGGAGGGAACGGACGCGGTCACCACTGGCGGAAGAGCAAAGCTATGTCCCACGACAGTTTCAGGGCAAGCATCGCTTCGAGTCTGGCATCTGACGAAGCATCTCTTGAGGCTGGTGTGGCTGTCGCACTGCCAGTGCTATGGGTCAAGACCAATGTGCAAACGGTCAGAGTGGGAAGAGGTCATGTTAGTAGAGGACATGTGGTTAGGAGTCTGGTTAGATATAGTTTCGAGAGGGTTGAGGATTGTTTCCCTAGAGGCCACTTCTTGAGGACCTATGGTAGGCCCGAGTCGAGGAGACCGATGAGCATTTTGCCGACTTGTATGGAATTATGACAGGTTTCAATGAATGGATATGAGATCTTATCGCAGTGTCGTTTATGCTACGAATGCTTCTTGCATAATGTTGACTTTCGGAGTGCAATATCCCGCGGTCTCGAATCGCCGTACATTACACGGAGAAACTGTTGCCGGCTGTCTACGAAGGGAAAAGAGCAAGTATGACAATAGATACTACATCTTAGAGTTTGGATCCAATGGGCAGATTGAGGATCTGTGGGCAGCTTATGTAGAATCAGGAGGTCTTCATGCTCGTTCCGTGCATTGGAAGTATAGTCGTGGTCTGTCAAAATATGAGGTTATTCAAACTAGAACAAGATCCCTGAAGGCTAAATTCACTTAGGTATAAGGTTCATAAAAGTGTTTGCAGAGATACCACGCACTGAACAACTGTGAGCAAGCCTTGGTATTGTACTTGCAGTGCATTGATGGAGCACAAGTTGACGACAGTCATTCAGAAGTGAGACAAGCATTGGTTGTCCTTTCCACCGACTATTTCGCCAAGCATCGTAATTATTCAGCTGCCAAGTTCCATGAGGAGCATCGAGCAAAACTCAAAATTGCTCTAGAAAACGTTGCTTTGAGAATTGTAGCGGTCAAATCCGGCGCGCCTCGTGCGCCGATACACTAAACAAGTCGTCCTATCTTGTATATATTCGCATGCTGGATTCGTGCCTGTATCTTGTTCTGCTTCCCGCAATGGAGCGGCGACACGCCTCGAGACAATTGTTCGCAAATCCACAGCTTCAAGACTTGGAGCTATTGAAACAATTCTCCTATATCTCGCGCTGCATCCCACTAATGACACCTACTGTATCTCTTTATCGTCCGTACTATCCATCTCTTTTACGTACTTACGGGTTCTAGAACAACATGCGAGATTGGAGATTGCGGCGCAGCCACTACTACACCACCACCCGTCTACCACCACCCGTCTGTCGACCCCGCTTCTCGATAGCTTGTTGCGACTAATCCGGCAGGTACATTCAAGATACGCGCAATGATCCCACGCAAGCTCCAAGGTATATATAAAGTACCGCAGCACAGCAATCCACTACTTGTAACACTGTTTACATCTTGCTTCCCTGATCATCCGACTTAGGTACAATGTCCACTCTCGCTACCCAAAAGGCAACGACGCAGACCGTGCTCGATGCATACAATGCATGGGACATGGAGAAGATACTAGCTTTTCGAGCGCCAGACTGTAAACAACAAGTCATTCCTGCATCCATGGGGCGACCAAGTATGAGCAATGGCGAATACCGCGAACGCCTAAAGCAAATACTGCCATGCTTCAGGAACTTCACTGTAAAGCACACGGCGTATTGCCTGGGAGACTTGCAAGCGGCTAACGTCGTCCTAGGTTACCGTTCACACAGCGGTGCATGATGCGGACGCGCACACATGTATCATGCATGCGACAAGTACGGCCGATACTGACATTGGACCATACGCAAACGAATACGCACTAATTTTGCATTTCACCGAGGATGGGAAGAAGGTTACCAAATTTCTGGAATACGTAGACTCGGCTTATTCGATAAAATTCTTTGCGGCGCTGGCGGCGGCGGGACTTGGAACTTAGTGGGACTGCAGAATGACGATTCCAGACGTGGCTAGATCATTTGGATATGTAGCATTCGCTGTGCTCTACTACATTCAACCTCGGTCCAACCGCGGTTCAACCGATTGTCACCTACCTTGTCCCTCCGAAACCATGCTACCGCTTCTCGAAATCACCTTCAGGCTTCCCCGGTGAATGTGTTTGCACATGATTGTCAAATTCTTTGCCCGAGAATTTGCCCTCGCGAACTTTGTTCTGGTTCTTGTGTGCCGCGATGCTGTGTTTGTTGACGCTATCGCCATGGCGGTCTTCAACGGGCTTGGGGACGTCGGAGGCGTAGGCGGATTCGTGTTGGTGTCCCGGCCGAGTGGATTTACTGTGATCCGGGGGGCTGGGAGAAGTGGAGGAGGCTGGAGAGGGTGAGGAAGCCGGGGAGGATGAGGAGCTGGTGGTGTAGTAGAGGGCCGCGGCACCGACGGCGGCGGTTGTGGTGAGCCTTGGGTAAGTCAGCACGGTGTGTGTCGTTTGAAGGTAGGTAGAGTAGGAAGGCGTGTCCAGTGGGTTGTCCAGCGGGTTGTCCAGCGGGTGTTGGGATGCAAGTTGCGGCGCGATGAGAGTTTGTGATGGGATCTCGACTACTCACCACGTCAATCGCGAAGATACCTTCAGTGTTTCTTTGGTGCGCTGATCATAGTTGGTCGCATACTGCCTCCTCGCTGCTAGACAGACCTGGCGCGGTGCGCGGGATAGAGCTCGTAGTGACATTGCTTTTATGGAAATTATTGTGGAAAGATTGGAAATGGTATACAATGAGCCAGATCGTCCCTAGTAGAGATTATCGCGTATTGTAGATTGTCAATGGCCAATTTGGTCGCAGATACTTGGGTATGTATAAACGGTGTGTTGTTCGCGCGCTGCAAGGTACGCTACCTACGTCATCGACGTGTTTACGCGCCTGCTTTCTGGAACGCCGCGTCTGCAAACGTCCCTGGCGTGCGTCACCATCACGGCTATCATTGGTGGAACCCTGCGCCTTGCTACTGCGAGTCGTGAACGAGTGGTTGCAGATCGTGTATGTTTGTAGACAGATGGCGTCTCGTGTCGAAATTCCTACTTTACCCACAGGTCAATGCTGGAAACAACTAAAGCGCGCGAAGAGGCAGAGGGGGGTGGGCAGCACTAGAGACGGTAAGGACGAAGAGCACCTAGATATACAAGAATGCCTATGATATCAGATCTATTAGTCGATCGTGGCTTAACGCCTTGTTTGTAATTCCTTAATGGTGTTGAAACGGGGACCGCCGGGAGTTTATGCGTGGCAGCGCTACCCTGTAAGCCCTAGTCTCGAACGTTATGTACATCTCTCGAATCGAGCGTCCGCCAGTTGAGGCTCTGTTCTTGTTGTAGATTGTAGCAAAAAGATATCAAAAAAATCATCTCACAATTGTGGAGAAGGATATTTTGCATCCTCCGGGAGTCGAACCCGAGCCAATTGCTTGGAAGGCAATTATCCTACCGTTGGACCAAGAATGCTGGTTGGTAAGATAGTGGAGAGATCATGGGAGAAATCTATATCTCTACACCATTGCACTGTGGGCTGGGGTCACGATGCTCGGAAAAGCGTTGACGGACGCTCAAGTACCACAGCTGTGGGCCTTTTCTCAATACCAAGATGATCCGGTTCCAATGCTCGGCCACGACATTACAAAGAGCAACCAGCAATCACCTACCCCCACATCACAGTAGACGAGATCCTGTTGTGGAGAATCAAATAAAGGTGGTATCGTGTGCGTCCAAAGGGTCCTCCATTGAGGCATGCCGACGTGTTCAAGGAGTGCATATGCTCTTCGCCTTTCAAAACATTCCCAGTGAAACCTGGATTGACAGAATAGTTATACAACACCAGCTTCTCTTTACTCAGCTTAGAGGCGCACAGCTCTTTCTAAGCTTGCAGGTCGGTATGCGAAAGTAATGCCTGTAACGACAACATGGGCTGGATCACTTAGGGAATAGGCAACTCGAATGGATCCTGTTTCTGGTCAGTCGTGATGAATCAAAGCTCATGTGCAACGAGTGTGACTGTCTCCAGAGTGTAGCTGTAATGTCTAGCTTACACGTCGACGGCGGTGGTGGAGTGTTGGTGTTTCGATCGTCCACGATCGTCATCCCGCTGGACCCTTGCTTAGTCTGCGATTAGTTGTCAAACGACGTAACTTCCACCACCCCCCAGATCACGGCTGGTCACGCGGCTGCCTAGACATCAAATCTGCATATCAAGGTTTCCGCGTGTGTTAAGAAGATATCACAGTCGCCTCGTCAGATACCGACAACCTGCGCGCAATGACTGAGCCAAACTCTGCCCCGCACGACGAACGCGACCCCGCGGCCACGGCCGACGCGAACGAAACACGCGACGACGACAAAGATGGGCACAAGCCACGAGACAGCAGCGGCTGGGACGGGAAGCTGCGCATAGACAAGATGACTATCGGCGACGAACCTAGAGATCCACATGCACAGGTTGTGAGCGACCCGGAAGTATCAGACGATGAGGGCCCGCCCCCGGAACAGTTGGCCGCAGATGAGGATTTGCTCGACGATACGCCGGAAGACGAGGATGACATAGAGATTGTCCACTCCAAGATTTCAGACATGTCGGCATTACGGTTGGAGCGGTTCAAGCAGATGAAGGTATGCTATCGTCTGCGTCGTGAATGAATTTGCCTAATGTCACAGCGTCTTTGCTTGCGCCAAAACCGCATAGAAAGCATCGCGATACCCGAAGACGTCGCACCCACTCTCACAGAAGTCGATCTCTATGACAACCTGATAGCGCATATCAAAGGGCTCGATGCCTTTACCGAACTCACGTCGCTCGACCTTTCCTTCAACAAAATCAAGCATATCAAACGGCTAAACCATATGACCAAGTTGAAGGACCTATACTTTGTGCAGAACAAGATCAGCAAAATAGAGAATCTCGACGGGCTATCGAATCTGCGACAGATCGAGCTCGGCGCAAACAGAGTGCGAGAGATTGAAGGGCTGGAGACGCTGACGGGGCTGGAAGAGTTGTGGCTGGGCAAGAACAAGATCACTGAGATCAAGGGTCTGGATAGTCTCACCAACCTCAAGATCCTCAGCATACAGTCGAATCGTCTACGCTCGATAACGGGCCTGGAAAAGCTCGTCAATCTCGAAGAGCTGCACATCTCGCACAATCTCCTCACCGAGATATCAGGCCTGGAGAACAACGTCAATCTAAACGTCATCGACATCAGCGCGAACCCGATCGAACACCTCACCGGGTTGAAGGGCCTTAAACACCTCACGGAGTTCTGGGCGAGCAACTGCAAGTTGAGTGACTTCAACGAAATCGAGAAGGAGCTGAGGGATAAGGAAGAATTAGAGACAGTCTACTTTGAGGGTAACCCACTGCAAAGGTCACAGCCAGCGTTATACAGGAACAAGGTCCGGCTAGCGCTACCACAGGTTGTGCAAATTGATGCTAGTAAGTCTCTTCCACTTCTCGGCGTTTCCAAGAACAGAACCTAATGCCACGACAGCGTTCGTAAAACAAGTTTAGGTGGACAGGTCTCGAAAGAGATATGGGAGTAGAGGCAAGGCATTTACATGGCGCACTGGGAAGAAGCTACAGGCGTTCAGGCAAGCGTACATGTGGCACAGAGACGCGGTGATGATACCCAATAAATGCATGGTATTGTTGACTGGATTATTGCCCGTGCAGTTCAAGAATGACCAACAACACAACAGGCACGACGCAACGGGTCGAGAATTGATGAATGCAAGGTCTCTGAATTCTGCTTACTTGACCAGACAATCTAGACGACTTTCGCCTCTGAAGCCTGCTTGGTATCTATAACATTATTTATCTACTCTGGGACCCAGTCAGGACCTTCCGCCTGGTAAAGCATCGGCTTCGGGTTAACGCAGAGCTTTCCATTTTCATTTGGCAACCCATCGACACTGCGTACGTTGAAAAACTCACTTCCCACTGCACCTGTGGCCCAGAAAAGGTTAAACGGGTCAAACTTGCGCTTCGCCTCCAGGAGACGCGGATAAAAGCTACCCCAGAACGACCACTGGAAATTAGGTTCAAGACGATCTCCCTCCGAAAGGTAGGATCCGGAGCCGGGCGTGATGTCGCGCCACTTCTGCATGACGCCGTAGGTCATGTTGAGGCGCTCCTCGATGATGTCCGCAGCTGGATTTGTCATGTTGAGAACAGTGCCGGTGATAATAAAACCAAGCATGTTGCGCCAGGCTGGGTTGACAGAGTTATCAGGGCGTCCACCCTTTTCCCAAGATGGTGCCATGTTGTAGCCAATCAGCGCCATACCTTCATCAACCGCCCCCCAGAGAGCTTCGAAAGTCTCATCAAAGATAGATTCGTTTGCCCAGTTGGAACGAGGGATCATACGCGAGGTAGTGGCGACGCCATTGCTGTTGACACCTTCCACAGGGAAAGAGCCATTATAGGCATCGTAGAATCCGTTATATTGTGTCCATTTGGGTTCGACGGTGATCCCGAGTGCAGCCATATCCTTTACCCAAGGGTCAACAAGAGCTTTGGCTTCTTCAACAGTTTTTCCGGGAGCGAAAAACGGCGACATGTCCATCATGATCGAGTCTGGCGACGGAAATACCTTCCAATACGCGTAAGTATTGTTGTCGGCGTTCTGTGGAAAGTACTTCATGTATGCCTTTAGTCCTTGCTTGAAGGCGTCGGTGCTGACATTCTTGCCTGTGGTGACGAGCCAGTTGGCGGAAGCGATAGGTTGATCCGGGTGCATCTTGACGGTGACCGAAGTTACAACACCGAAGGTCAGACCTCCACCACCACGTAGTGACCAGAACAGCTCAGGGTTGTTGTTCTTATCAGTAATCACATAGCGACCATCTGCCATGACGACCTCCATGGAAAGCACATGGTCAGCGCCGATGCCAAGGGATCCCGATAGAGGCGAGTGGCCACCACCTTGGATCCATCCGCCCATCGCGCCGACAGTAGGGCCTAGACGAAAACAAAAAGTCAGTATGCATCACACACAAGTATTGTAGGAAGCAGATACTGACATTCGCCTCCCATGACAGTACCACCAAAGTCTCTCGCAGCCGCGTAAAGCTCAAAGCCCTGAGCACCCGAGCCAGCTTTGATAGCAGGACCAGAGTAGTCATCCGACTCGTAATTCTCAATGAACGCGATGTCTTTCAAGCCATGAGTCCATACACTAAGGGAGCCAGCACCACCACTCTTCCCCTAGATACTGTCAGCAAAACATCGACAACTTGAAGGCGAAGAACATACGGCAAAATCTAAAGGTGGGTATACGAAGTCAGTACCCGTCTCACATGCATCTCGTACAGGGACATTACTAACCATGACCGGTGTTACGAACGACGAATCGGACGCCTGTGTTTCGAGCAAAGTTGAGTGCCAGCTGAATCTGGGCAGTAGTCGAAGCATTGACGACGTAGACAGAGTAGCCTCCTTGGGCACACTGTTTGCTGTTGTATATCTGAGGCGGTTGGCATGTACTTCCTTGGTACAATGGACTCAGCATCTCAATGGGGTCATCCAGCCTGGTCGTATATATCAGTCAACAAGTACTTGAAGGTAGTATGCCATATTTGACGTACTGTGAGAATGGATCCGTCCATGACTTGGTCATAGCATCGCAAGCGCTCCGGTCGATGCCACCTAAAGTACTGTTGTAACAGATGTGTGCCTGTGGAAGAGGCTTCATCAGAGCACCATTGGTGACATCATTGAGTGCTGACCAGCTTGCCTCCGCTGGCCAATCTTCGTCGCCAGGGAAGACTTTGCATTCGCGGCCGTTGAAGGTGCTGTCTGTGTCGAGCACGACGTCGCTAGCAATGTTGTGCGAAGCGAATTGGAAAAGAGACTTCGCGTCAGCTGGTACTGAATCCAAGGCTTGCTCGATGGTCGTGTCCGTCAGGAATGACTGTTCCCAATCGAAGCGAGGAAGGGTACCGTCAGTTGTCTGCTCGATGCGTGCAAATTTGCCCGACTGGCGATCGGCAAGACGCATGGGAGGTTCTGCGGAACGAGGCGCGAATCTGGCTGCAGCAGATGCTACAAGGAGCGCGCTAACAAATGAGGAAACCATGGTTGCGGGTGTTGAGCTGCAATGAAGATACAAGAAGTCTCCGAGAGCCCGGAGAACGGAAAAGGAAAGCGAGAGAATGAGGCTATTTGAAGAAGACAAATTAAGAGTCGTATGCCGCCTCCGCCACTGGATTGACTGCCGAAATCTCGCTCGACCACAACTGACCTCGATAGTAGTACACGATTCATGTTTCGCCTCACAGCAAACGTGCGGATTCTACGGGTTTTGTGGGGTCTGACCTAGATTTGGGTAACGGCCCGTGGTGCCTCTTGTCTATGCCGGCGTTACGAACCGTCTTCACCATGTGCAAGAGGCACAGTCCTAAAGATGTGCGAACAAGCGTATGTATCCTCGAAACCATGTCTTAATATAAGGTGACGCATGGATACAGAAAGCGCAGCCCTCTCGTCAGAATAAATTGCTCGAGGGTCAGACATGGGTGGTCGCGAACTTCTCGGAAACCCCTCCAGATTCAGGTGGCGGGATTCCACTCACTGCGTAGGCGAGCCGTTGATCAGGGTTCCGACAATCTCCGCATGGGTTTGTGATTGTTCATTGACCAATGTGATCAGAAATCGCTACGAAAAGAGACTTGGACACCGTGCTTGGCTCTACTGCCACGGCTCGCTTGCATGCATCCAAGAGGCGGCCGAAGGTTCTGTATAATGTGAGAAGGCTCGGGGAAACGGCATGGCTGCTCGATAGGATCAAGGAAGCAACGTGAAAGTGAAATCCACGAATACATGATCCTGAACATAAGGAAGAGACCCACTATAAGAAAGGTGGGGTTTATTAAAAGGATTTGGCGTCAACCGTCACCACCTGGAGATGCGAACAACTGTTCGTAAGGTTCCCTAGGTTTGTCAGTTTAAACCCGATTCGGTTGTTTCCTCTCTGTCGTGGTTTCGTATCATTCAGGACCTTATTCTATTATATTCTTGTGAGCAATTGTCCCCGCCGTCGACAATGTGGGTTGGAAATTAGTCTGACTGTCTTGCGAACTAATAAGCCAGTGCTTGACGCAGGCGTGCGGCACGGGAGGGCCGAGGAGCTGACCCGCTGTTCGATAACCCAAATAGGAATAGCGTTGGCTTCGGATGCGGTCCGAGGCTTCGATCAACAGCTAAAAACTTCCGTAATCGGTGTATCTTTGCGCCAAAGCCGTCAATGAGGTTCCGTTGCTAAAAACATGTATTACGTGTCTAACGAAAGAGCGCTTGAGAAGACAGTTTTCGAGGCTTCTAATTTCTAACTTAACGTGCTCCAGGATGTCGCTGCAACAGAACCTTAGAACCCCTGAGGCTCGGCAGCAAGGATTTTGTTAGCAAGAAGTCACACTGCGTTAGATAACAACGCGGCTCGCAATCGAAGCAAAGGAATGATCTGCGTACTTGAGGCACAGTAATCTTCGTCAATCGATTCGAATCAAGGCATACCTATCTAGGTACTTGAGCCGCGGAAACGATGTAGGATGCGTATGACATCCCAGTGATTCATTTCACTCGTGCCGCCGTGGCATTGGTATTGCAAGTCACGCTTCATGGTATTGAATCCACAAAAACATCGTTATATGTTGATGCAGTCGGCTGGTTCAACTTGATCATAGTCTCTCCCTCCGTATCCCGATCTACACACTTGTCAAAACGACACGGCAGTCATGAATTCACCCTCAGATTCAAGGCAGCTTGCTATTTTCACCATTACCATTGTCTTTGCTTCTATTAGTACTCTTCTTGTGGGCGTACGACTGTACCAACAGTTTCTAATCAAACAGTTCCATTGGGACAAGCCGCTCGAAAGCCATCAGGCTATGCAATATATAGCTAACAAGATACTTAGATGATGGCCTCGTATGCATGGCATGGGCATTAGCAGTTGCGCAAGCGGGCGTTTTTCTCAAGTTCGCCGTGTTGACGAACCAGGGACATCACATCTGGAATATCCCTACCCCCACAATCGATCAACTCGTCAAGGCGGACAAGTGGAATATGGCTCAGTAGCTCCTATACAACCCAATCCTTTGTCTTGTGAAAACATCGGTACTAGTATTTTTGATAAGACTGGGCGACCAAAGAACTCTGGTTTATTGGAGTTTGCATAGGCTCTGGTGGTTCAACATGGGCCACATGATATCCGTTTTCTTCGCCGCTTTGACACAATGTCTGCCTATTCACATGTACTGGAACCACTACTACACGGACGAGACTATAAACGGCAAGGTTGTCAACCCGAATTATCAGTGCTACACCATGGCCGCCTTTTCTCTCGTCACTGCTGGCCTCGCGATTCTGACGGATGTCCTCATACTGCTCGTACCCGTAGCCATGATGTGGAACTTGCGCATGGCACTCCGCCAGAAATTCGCTGTCAGCGCCGTACTCTCTGTCGGCTGGATTGTAGCCATTCTCGACATTGTTCGGGTTGAAGTTTTCTATGACTTTTGGTACCCATCGAGTACCTCCAACGACCCTACGTACAAAGTTTCCATTACCCTCTCCGGCATCGAAGTCAACGTCGGGATCATGACCGCCTGCGGTCCCGCGCTTAAAGCCCTAGCAACGCGATGCGTACCGAACCTTTTCAGCTCCAAGAGCACCACACAGACGAATGCATACCACACACGCGAATACGAAACGAATTCAAGTGCTGGCACAACAAAGAGCGGCCGCTTCGTTACGACGGCGCTCCAGCCACGCGACAACAACAGTGATAGTCAAGCGCACATCGTGCGCGATAGCAGTTCGTATACAGACAACAAGAGCATAGAAGCGCCATCGATAAAGGAAGCGGCGGCGGTACCAAACAGCAATACATGGACGACCAGCAAGGGCTGAGAGTCACGTGTCGAGAAAGAGGAAATACATTTATGGACTCTGGAAAGCTTCCCAAACAGAACAACAAATGAGAAAGTACCTTTACCTCGAGACAGAATTGTGAATCCTCAAGTACTTGGATTATAGAACAGGTAATTCTCTACAATCTTAATTGTGAACATAGAAAAGCTTTCAAGTATTGTGTGCACGCTTTCGCAAACATTCTCATAATGCCCCACTCCTCAGTGCGGAGGAGGATGGCTTGATGTATAATACGCAAGCTTATTGGAAAGTACGGGAGCTACTCCGACACTGCATGCAGCTTGGAGATTTTGAAGGAAGAGGAGACGAACTTCTTCACAATCCTAGCGCGGTGATCACTTGTGCTCTGATCGGAGGAGCTTGACAATGACACCGGTCAGCTGCTCTTTCACAGCTCATCCCCTCAGCAACACCAACAACTGCGAACTAACTGACATGCTGAAAGGGAGCCTCGCTATATCAATACTATTAACGATGAGTGGGAGATGGGTAAGGCCGACAGCAGCGTCAATATCGTCGCATGCGGACAAGTTATGCGAGATCCAAAACTGCATATACACAACTTCTACCTTGGTGGTGAGCTGAAAGAATATCGTTCTACCCTCGCTCTGGACTTAACAAAAGCACTTTTGCTAAGTCTCACTAGCATAATTCAGCTGTTGAGACGTTTATCTGTATCTGCCCAGGTGTTCTGAGGACTTGGTCAGGCCCCGCAAGTATACTAATGTGAGAGGAAGATATCATGCATCCGGATCCACATCTCTAGGTATCAGTTGTCACAGTCAGTACACACGATGGGCAGAGAAAGCTTAATCCCCAGAGAGCCTCTTACCTGGATCTATAGTTGCACACCCGCTTGAAAGTTGCTTCGCACCTACCATGTAAGATTTGCTTTTTCCTTCACATCGGAGCGCATTGCCTACATCAATGAGATTGTAGCATTTCATTGGTAATGATGGTCTACATTCAGAATGTTGCCTCTTTTACTTCCTAGGTATCATATGCATATGCCACGTCAATATCGTCTATCGCCAGTTACTGCTTCTTCCGTAACTACATAAGCCTTTCCATTGAACCCAAATTTCTTAACTCCAAAAGCAAATCATCCAAGCCCAGCTGATCACTACTTCAGTTACGTTCTTCCAGTTCTCCGTCGCTGCTGATATACCTGCTCAGCAGAGTGGTACCTGGCCTGATGACAGACAAATGCGAGGTTGCACCTAAAAGCTCGCATCGCCATTGATCTTCATGTCATTCACACCATTGGCGATACCTTCCGCACTGAGGCCGTTCGCCGCACCACTCTGATAGTCACGAGTGATCTCTTCAAGCATACCGGCACTGGCAGCGACGAAGCCCAAGTAAGGCCTGCTTGGGTCCAAGACGCGGGAGAGGTATTCCGGGTGGAATTGGACACCAACGAACCAGGGGTGGTCCTTGATTTCAATAACCTCCATACGTACACCAGCGTCGTCTTTGCCGACGAAGCTCAAGCCACCCTTTTCGAGCGTCTCGATGTAGTCGGGGTTGACTTCGTAGCGGTGACGGTGACGTTCAAGAATCTCTTCCTTGCCAGCGTATAGAGCGCGGAGCTTAGACCACTCGCTACCCGGCTGGAAGAGAGTCGGTCGGAGACCCAGACGCATCGATGCGCCCATGGTCGTCTTGTCGACCTCCGGCATGAACATGATGAGCTTGTTCTGGGCATCGCCGTTGAACTCCTCGGAAGTTGCGTCCTTGATACCACAAACGTTGCGAGCGTACTCAATGACGGCGATTTGCATGCCTAGACAGACACCAAGATATGGCTTCTTGTGCTCACGCGCCCAAGTAGCTGCCGAGATCATACCCTCTGTGGCACGCTGACCGAAACCGCCAGGCACAAGGATACCAGATGCCTTGACAACCTCATGCCAAGCCTTGTGGTACTTTTCAGGGTCTGTCTTTTGACACTTAGGCTCCAGGTGATCTGAATCAACCCAGCGAATGTCCAGTTTCCTCCTGCATCGCATCGTGGCGTGTTCCAACGACTTGACGACTGACAAATACGAGTCCTGGAGTTCAACGTACTTTCCGACCAGTGCAATCGTCACCGGGTCGTGAAAGCGACTGTCGTGGCCTGTAAGCGACTGCCATTGCGCCCAGATATGGTTGCCCTTCTGCAGCATTGAGGGCGAGATAGAGGTCTGCTCAAGAGCAAGGAACTGGCGGACCATGGGGATCAATCTCTGTTGCTCGAGAAGCATGGGTACTTGGTAGATGGACGGCATGTCACGCACAACCAGGACTTGTTCGTTTTCGACCTGGCAGAAGTGGGCAATCTTCTCGACCGCAGAGGCTTCGAGTTCGCGTTCGCAACGGCAGGCAATCTAGAACAGTCAATCATTTACTCACAACACAGGTGACAGTGCACTCCAAGGACAGATGCGCCAGCTAGTCGCCAACACAAAGGTCTTGGAGTTGCCCAGCGAAAATGTACGCACCAGATCCGGGATCAGACCGTTACTCCTCACCGCCTTGATGGCCTGCTGCGTAGGCTTCGTCTTCTGCTCGCCGTGAATAACAGGCACATACGAGACGTGAATCTGCATAAAGTTGTTCTTGCCCGCGCGTCTCCTGAGCTGGCTCATAGCCTCGATGAAGGGCATGCTCTCAATATCACCCACAGTACCTCCCAACTCGATTATGCAGACGTCAGGCTCCTCGCCTGAGTCATCGACGGGTATCCGCGCGACTTTCTCGATCCAGTCCTGAATCGCATCGGTGATGTGTGGGACGACTTGAACGGTTTTACCCAGATAGTCGCCCTTGCGCTCCCGTTCGATGACGTGCTGGTAGATCTTGCCGGTGGTGATGTTGTTGTCGCGTGTGAGGGTGATGTTGAGGTAGCGCTCGTAGTTACCGAGATCGAGGTCAACTTCGCCGCCATCGGAGAGGACGAACACTTCGCCATGCCTATAGATAGTTTAGTTTAGATATAGCAATCATGCTGGCGAGGCCTACTCCTTCGGGTTCATAGTCCCTGCATCTACATTGAGGTATGGGTCGACCTTGATCGACGAGACGTGCTAAGACGTCAGTATGGTCGGCAGAGCGCGTCAGTTCGCTGCACTTATCTTGAGACCGATCGTCTTGAGCAAGAGGCCCGTAGACGAGGCTGTGACGCGTCAATTAGCAGCGGTACATAAAACGAAGATTCCTGTGCATAAGTTGCTGTGCAGTGGTGCAGTTCGGCAACGCTCTAAGAGCCATGATCCTAGAGAGGATGATGTGCTCTGCATAGACCACAAAAGCCCTGCAGACTCGAACTCGCGTGAGATTTCTCGCGCACGTCACAAGAGCTTACCTATGATACCCTGTGTATACGCATTAGTGGTGATCAAAGGCGCGGCAACCTGCAGCTTACCTTCCCCACGCCGCTGATGACGCCGCCAGACACAAGCACGTATTTCATGATGTTTTGCTTTTGGTGCCTCAATCGGTTATGGGGAAGGGGAGGGAAGGAAGGAAAGCTGAGATTTTGCACGCGTTAAGTTGGAAAGAAAATCGACGCATGGACCATCTAGCGGGGCTGATCCCCGCATTAGCGTCCTCGAGGCGTGAGGCTTGCCTGGCGACCATCATCCTTCGGCGAATCTTGACCTCACAGCTTCATTGATGAGGCATAATGCTGCTAGCCTAGCTAGCGTCACTTTGTGTTATTTGCAAATACGAGCTATCAGAAATGGTATCGTGCTCCTTTCCATCGAATATCAAATGCATTACAATATAGCCGCCGCACCGAGTCGTCCGACCCCTCTTGTATTGCGCGAACGCCATGCAAACAGCCTCGTCGCCACCAGCTAGAAAATTAAGATGTAGATCGTCCGAGGGAATGTTGTTGGTTCATCATGTCGTCAAGATGCAAGTCGGTATCTGCGAAAAATGCTCCAGATAACCCAGGTAGCAGCCCACGCCGTCCGCTGTAGTTGATGCTTGTGAGAAAAGTAAATGCCGTAGAGGTTATGTTCAGATAGTTATTCCCTGCGCCTCCGCTTCAACTCATCCTCCTCTTTATTATCGTGCTCTTGACTTGCGGTAAGTCGTTTGCGCGCCAGTGCTTTCTCATTGCCTTTCTTTACTTGGATGTTGCATCCTTGTAACTTCAATGCTCGGGTAAGAGCACTGCTTGGTCTCATGCCAGGAAAGTCCTTGGCCGTATAGACGGTGAAGACGTCGCTCAAGACTTCGGTAAGTATTGGCGAAAAGCCTCCCACGTGGAGGTTCATCGGATCGATACGCATTAGGACGAATCGAAGTCGGTATTTGCCATGTGTACGACACGAAAGGTCTGGAAAGCAGAAGAAGCAACCTTCGGCATCATGCTCATCCTTTGCTACTGATGGCGATGCCACGAGCTGACCCATTAATCGCCGCGTCGTTCGCCTGTCGGGCTGTATGAGCGCTGTCTCTTCGTTCGTCCCCTCGGCATTCCAGAGTGTGCAATGAACCACGTTGAGCGAGTAACGTAGTTCTTCTTGCTCTGCGGCACCGGTTTTCGGATCTGTTACAAGGAGCTGGATGATTGGCGGTGGGTCAATTACCCTTCGGTCACGTTCTCCGAACCCACATGCTCGCGCGGCGATGGGTTGTTGCCGCACACGAAGTTCGTAGTTCAAGTTTCTGTATGCGTCAGTGGGAGATCGCTTACTTGGTCAGTGTGGAAGTATCCTTACAGCTGCTCGTTGTATACCGGCTGTGGTATCGAACCTGGTAATGGAATTGCTCGATGCTGTTTTTGAGGTGGAGGAGCCGTTGCAGGCGGCTCCGAATACGCAATGGCACCGAGTGGGGCTGCTATGGAGCCTCGATGTGATTGTGAATGCTGGCGGGAACCTACGGATCCGCGGAATGGAGTACTACTCGATGCATAGCTCGGTGTATACCCAGGTGACGGCAGTGGAGGATATGACCTTTGCTGCGAGGCCTCTACTGGGGATGTGAGAGATGAGTATGGCTGCTCGTGGTGTTGACTATGATGGTAGTGCCGGGGTTCCTCGTAAGGATAGCGGTGTTCTGTCAATCTCCGCGGTCCTCTGCTGTCAAACTCGGAACGTGGTGAGATGGAAGGGCCATATTGCTGAGGCGAATATGGAGGGTCTGATCTGGGTGGGGTGTAGGGATTTGAATGTTGTAGTAGTTTCTCAACAGGAGCTGCTGATCTATGTACGGAGGGCGGCTGGGGGTAGTCTTGTCGCGGAGGCAATCCAGCATGAATCGAGGGCAGTTGGTTGATGGGTGAGCGGAACTGGTGATCGGACCGGGGTGGTACAGCGTCTGGTGGGATCTCTAGCGGGGGAAGTCGGCGGTGAGAATAGTCGAGGAAGCCAGGGGGCGAGAAGATGGGAAGTTTCTGGGTCTCAGTCATATCTGGAGCAGGATGAGAAGTTGTTGTCAGAGGGAGCGACGGCGGCGGAGGAGGTGGAGGTGGTTGGGACATGCGTGTATTATTATTTGGCCGGGCCAGGACACGATGCACGAAGCCGCATTGGGATGATGTTTGTGTTCAGTTCGGAGGCTCTTTTCAAATTGGGAGCAGCAGGGAGTGGTGCAGTGTTGGACAAGACGTCAGGAATGGGGGCACTGCCTCGAGTGTGGCGGCGTTGGTAGTTTATAGTTTAATGTCCCTTGTAGGCGACCCTGTACGTATCTGGATCGCCAGCAGCCAGATCGACGGTCGGATGCTTGGATTCAGCAATGGCGACGTTGAAGTGGAGGCGCTCTGACGCCTTAAAACAACGGGCGCCCGGGAAGAGGAAAGGATGCAGACGGGGGTGGGCCCGCAGCACCCTGTTCACTCGCAAGCCTCACGCCAACCGTCAAGAGTAGCCGGCTCGGAGCATAAATTTTGACCAGGACAGCGATAAGTGCAGCGATGAGTGCGTGGATCCGAGCTTGGCGGGCAGCTGCTAGTCCCCAGGTTTCTGACTTGGGTTGGTGCAAGCGATATGAAGGCCGGGAGATGGGCACTATGTACAGTACAAGCAGGTGATTGTGTGGAGAAAGTAGTCATGTATGTTCCTCATGGTCTAGGGTTTAGGTGAGCTAGTCGGTGCATGTGGTCTCTGCGGCAGTCCACTCTGTCTTCTCACCGCGTTCGCAGCCCATGCAGCTGGAGACTTTGGGACGCGACTGGCTCAGGACTCGTGTCTAGCTCCGAACTGGCTTCGCAGTATTTTCGTGGGGCGTCACCGAATAGGCTGGCGGCCGGGTAAAAGAGAGACAAACAACGGCGTCCCGGTTTCGCAGGCACGTCTGTTTCGAATCAAGACAGACCAGGGTGTTGCACACTGTGACCGGGCGGCAGCCAATATGGAGCAATATGCCAGATATCACGTAACTCGGTCCATGGGCGCTGGCGAGCGGAGGGTAGCATCGCGAGCGGCAGACGCTTTCACATTCGGCGAGGGTCCAGATAGAGTGAAGGAGTGGCTGCAGCACGAACCTGGGAAAGGCTTGACGGGCCCATCTGTCAGAGCGGGCGCAGGCCAATGGCGAGGCTGGAGGATTGCGGCTAAAAGCGATCTGCCCTGCGACGCCTTTCTTGTCCGTCTCCGCGCACCCACTTGGAGCGGGTGGGGTCTGCTGCCATGCTGGATGAGCTATAGGTGGCCCAAACTCTGGTGGTGGTGAACCCAGTCAGGACGGCTACCGGGCTTTTGGAAGACGGCTGCCGTCTCATGCGCCCATCAATCAGTGACATGAGACATTGCCTCCGCACCTGGCTATCGGACTCGATAGTCAACGGGCACGGCCGCCCAAACGATGTCGGTGGCTTGCGCTTGCCCAAGGTGGGCGACCGTTGTCGTTAACAGCAGACATTAAGACACACATACATCGCTTCCATGGCTGCGACGCGAATCACGGCGGTTCGCTTGCGGCGCAACGGTTTGAAGAGAGTGGCAGGAGATTGGGAGAAGCGTCATGGGGTGTGTGTTGTTCAGCGGGTGACTTGGGCATGGTATGCGGCAGTTGCAACAGTCGCTGCTACCATGCAGACTGATAATATACAGTGTCAGGCATAATAACCACCGACCCAGCCATAATCAACCAGACTTTGTGCATCGTCTAGACAAAGGCTTAGAGTGCAAAGTCGATTGGCAGTGCAGATGAAGTTGATCTAGATGACGCCTATTTGCAAACCTCGGAACGCTCATCGCCTGAGTAACAGAGTTGCAATGGCACCCTGGCAGACGGCACCTATTTGGAAATGCTAGCGCCGCTCCTCCTATTGCCTCCTCTACTCATTCAGGTAGGCTCCAACTCTGATATTGCTGCCCGCACGGATCCAGCGTACCTGCGCTGCCCCCTAGCCTAGCCGCGTCCGCTGTGTGCTACCTCGAGCGGGCGCATGTCTGCTTTGACACACTCCTCCTTTTCCTACCCCTCACCTCCCATCGCAACATTGCCTTCGGTGAATAGGTCCGCCAATTGTTCGACCTGGCACGTGTGGCAGCCAATCGTCTGCCCGAGCACCTGCCGTCTCTGAGTTTTACGCGACTTCCCAACCTGCTGACCACTCACCTCCCACCTCGCACATCTCTCACCGCCCGTCCCCCCCCTCCAGAATACACACCACGCTGCTGCTCGACGGCGCATGAATCACGTCGCCACTCATCCACCACAGGGCCACCAAGAAACTCCCCGGTCGCGATCGACACGCAGCCTCGACGGAGCCGTCATGGCTACTGAGTTTGGCAACTACAAGGGTAGGTGCGAACCGATCTCACCAAGACGGGCTGTTGGCGTCCTGACATGTTCTCAAAGCGGCGTCTACTCGGCAATTGCTGCCTTGCTTCGACTCGTGCTGACTCGCCTGCAGATTATAGTGGGGTGTCAAAACTGCCTGCCTCTGCGACTCACCTTCTTGACCCACGTCTAAAAATCCTGGCTACGCTGATCCCCGGAATCTTTGCCGCCAAGCACTGTTTGGACATCGGCTGTAATGCTGGCAGCGTCTCAATCCAACTATGTAAGTGTAGGAAGGATACCCCTGCTACCTCCTGCAACCGACTATTACCACGTCTTGTCGATATTGATCAACTTGCAGCATTCGATTTTCAAGCGGCATCCGTCACGGGCATCGATATCGATCCCAAGCTGATTGCCCAGGCCGAGAAGCTCCTGGCCCTGCGTGCTTCCCGTGCGAAACCCCCCACGAGTGGCTCGGCACCCGTTGTCGACTACTTTCCTATATCGGCCGTGCTCACTCATGGATACCGGATTGAACCGCAAAACAAGGCTGCGCATAGCGCATCCACTGTGTCAGCTGCTTGGCCGCGTGTAACCTTCTTCTCTGCAGATTGGGCCGTACCCTCAGCCCACGACGTCGAGGAGTCATATGATGTGATCCTGGCATTATCCGTCATTAAATGGATCCACCTCCAACATCGAGACGCTGGTCTAGTTGCGTTCTTTGAGAAGTGCGCCTCGTCGTTGCGAACGGGTGGATACCTCGTTATTGAACTCCAGGGCTGGGACTCATATCAGAAGGCCGTTCGCCCAAACCACTCTCCGCATTTCCAGCAGGCTTTGAAGGAGCTCGAGTTACGTCCGGAAACTTCATTCGACACTCTCCTTGCGAACCAAGGCCTACGGCTCTGCGCTTCATCAGATGCACTTCCTCGTCGCATCAGTGTCTATCGAAAAGCCTGAGCACTTTTTGAACATATCGGTAGGGTTGAACAGTCTACCACCAGGATCACGTTTCATCGCCTTCAAGTACCCAATCTTTAGCATCGGGAATTACCATTTCATCTTGCTCGGGAGATGTTCAACACACCCATGGCATTCCCCACTTCGACTAATCGTTACACTCTGGCGCACGGTCACTCTGCAATTATTATCCGTCCCTTGCCGTATCAGCGCCTATCGCACCTGGGCTCTCTATTCTGTTGGTTGGTAAATTTTGGATTGAGTATTGCTATTCACGAGACTTCGACCACTATCCCAAGCCGCGGTCAGTTACTACAAACGGCTGGTCTGCGCTCCACTTTCTTGGGGTTCTCCGGGCCTGAACCCTGCATGCCGATCGTCCCTCCTCACCATTCCGGGTTCCATCCCTCCATGCATCGTACGATTGCGGCAGCTGTGTAAGTAAAGATCGACCAAATAACAGGATTTTCAAAGTTTCGGTCTGGATGTTCGCCTCAATATCGAGATATGCAGCTATAACCTGGCCTTGGTAGTAGCAGCGACCACGAAAGTCATCTCTGGCAGGCCACGCTGGAGCAGGTATGAGGTCGCGAAACCTGCATTAGCCGCCTCACTACATAATCCGCAGTACTAACCAATGATGGCTCGGAAGCTTTTCGGCACATACCGGATACCCAGTTCTGTGGTTCTCCAGACCGTAAGTCACATGTCATCCACTAATACAAACCTTATCCCACACCGGATCTCGTGCAGGCCGAGATTTTCTACTATACTATCATGTCTACTACGAGCCGCACCATCCCTCTTTACACGTCATTTCCTAATGGCCGGCTCTAGATGTTTCGATAATTGTTGATCGCCTTCTGGTCGAGATAATGTGACAAATGCTAGATCACTGAAAGGCAAGTTCGGCGAATCGATAGTACCATGATTTAACCTAGCCGGCCATCGGCGACCGGTTATGAACATCATAGAACCTGGAATCGTCAAACTCTCAGTGATAGGACGACTGATGATCCTGTAGAAGTGGAGACGCAATGTGACCTTCTCGTCACAATCGAACTATTTCCGCTTTCGTGACTTCATGGACACATAAATCTCTCAAGTTTCTTCCTGTTCTTCCTGGTTCTCCGCGACTGCCGCAGGGGTTCGAGCACTTGTCTTCCCTGATCAGCATGTAACGAAATACAGCTCGCAGATACTGGAAAAGCTGGCTGTTAAGAGAGCTCGCCACAGAAAGTGCCGTACGTTACTACAAATCTTGATCAAACAAATGGTCTACTACCGGACCTGCACTGTACCAAGCCTCACCTGTTAGACGCGATTGAACTGGGATCTCGTTCGAAGAGCAGATCCCATGCTCTGCAAGATACATCTACCAGTACATGAGTGCATACAAACCCAAGACTTGGAATTCTAACCACTATTTTTGCTAGGAACACCTTGCATAAGCTCAAGATCTCAAGAGGTGCTTGATCTCACAGTTGGAGCTAACTCTCGTAGAAGATTGATACTGCACAGCCAGACCAATATCCAGTTTCAACCGCATTTACTTAGCCGTACAGTAACAGGAGCTTGCTTCCCCGAAAGCTGTGCCATAGAACACCATTGCAGCATCTTATGAACTATCAAGTCCACCGCAGCAATGTGCGGAGACACGATCTTGTCTTTGCCATGAAGAAGACGCCGATGATGCACTCCCCTGCCAACCGAGCAATCTTCTGACTATTGTCGTCAGCAAGGCTAAGCCTATCGGGATCCAGCATCTATGCTTGCTTGCGTTGTACGGCGGCCAACATGGCCACCGATAAACGCACCGGCAGTTTCTCTCTAGCCGAGAGGGTAAACCACCATGGATGCTTTTATGCCGTGCTCGAGAGTGTCAGCTTTGGCTAGCCAACTGCAGCGTGGTATATCGATCGTGAACGGTATCGCTGTTCGTGTTCTTACGATCGCCAGTTCATTCAGTGTCTACTGCGCTATGCATGGCATGCAACTATCGAGGAAGATTGGTCGATACTGAATACGCCCTATACAGTGTTTGCGAGACTGGGGAATGCCGACTAAATGGGGCGCTCCACTGATGGACAACGCATCGACGGATAACTGCTTCGTGGACACACCACGTCCCGCACAGCAGCGCCTTGCACAAGTGATGCTGCCCAAGAGCATGTCGTGAGCTGGCTTTGAGTGACAACACAACCACTGCACGTTGCGCTTATCTCCTCAACTTGAACATTTGATGATAACACACAAAGAACAACGTGACGGCATTGGAAAACCATTGTCAAATGCAGGTCGCATGTGCAGCAAGTAGGGCGTACTACGATCAGCCACCACCACTACCTCCCACGTTGTTTTGTTTTCGTACTCGTTGTGGTTGTGATGCGCTCATATTTGCCATCTTCTCAGCAGGTCTTGCAGCTACTTCGATTACGTATGCCAGGAAAGCCCAATGACACCGAGCGTTCATGAATCTACCAGGGGGCATGCAGAACATAGTTTCTGTCGTGAAACCTTCCAGCACATCGCCCTTGCCTTGCCACGAACACTTGCATCTTGCTCCCGAAACACGAACTCGACATCGGCCAGTATGTTCGAAGGATTGCGCTGCAGGGAGCGCGAATTGACCATTTCCTGCGTTTCCTCGACGTGTTCAGACGGGAGAGCATTGTCGACGCTCTAAGTCGGCGAAGCGCGGGGCTGGGAAATAGCTTCTGGCCACCTCACCTTGCCGCATCGGAGACTTTTGTACCTTCGACAAATGCTCCTTCTTCCCTTCCCTGGGCTTCGCAGGGACCGAACGCAAGGCGATACTAGCGAAAGGACGATCCCCGTCCTTGGTTCGCGATGGCAATGATGCATAGCTGCTGGACTTTCTGCGGTGGCGGAACATCTCAGCTTGGATGAACATCCACTTGTAACTAGGCGGGAAGCCAAGCACTGCACCATACGGGCTATATAACTTCAAGCAGCGTGGAAGTAGGTCTCACGGGATTCCTGTCGTCCCTTCTGACGTGTACCGGACCACGATTCAAGCAACGTAGCTTGCGCCGGAACTCCAGGTTGAGCCGAACAAAAAGCAACCATCTTCTCTTCTCTACCAAGCTGCGACAGCCAGGTAAGCATCAGAAGCGCGCGTAACATCAATGTGGCAGCATGTGTGTTGTTCACGCCTCAGCTGCTGAGGCGTTAAGGAACGGGCGTCGTATAGGTCGCTTAGGGGGTATGAAACGGCTTCGTGCTGACCGTGCGATAGGCTTCCTTGACGAGTCTCGCGCGGGCGCCTCTCACGATCCCTCTTGCAGATCTCTGGTTATTTGACATCCTGCCGAAGTCAGACGTAAGCCGGATCCTTGCTTTTGCCAAAGCGAATGACCTTCCGAGCTTGGTCACACAGAGCTAGACAACACTCAACACGACTCGGCATCTTGCCGGAGCTACGGAGATCTACTACATATACATACGCCATCGAAAACCACTCGTAGAACAAAGCAGACCGACGCCGAGCGCTGATCTCCGCTTACCGACCGCGAGCGCATCGAGCGCATCACCGAGGCCATGCCACCCGCGAGCTCGTCCTTCACGCCCCTCAATATCCAAGACAATGTCGTACCAGAGTGGCTGGATGCCTTCACCCTGACCGCGCCCCCAAACACCGATCTATGGAGGAAACCACCATCAGGGGATATATCGACGGCTCCAATTCTCTACACCGCTCTGCGCAACCCTTTCATAGTAGCAGAAGTCACAGTTTCAGCAGACTGGGAGCTCGAATGGGACCAGGGAGGACTGGTCATATTCGCGGGCACACCGCCAGGGCAGATGCCGGTAGCAACAGCAAACGCGACAACGACACTTGAGGTCCCAAATGTTGCGAGCATATGTTTGAATGATAGCGCGGCCCCGAGTTCCGCCATGTCACTCTCGCAAACCTCCAGTATTGACGATGTTGAGAGGTACAACACCACAACTTCACAAAGCCCAGCAGAGGATTCAGATACCAGGCCCCAGTTAGAGCGTGGCCCTCCACCACCGTATGTTGCTCCTGCGCCAGCATCCAAGTGGGCCAAAGTTGGGCTTGAGTTTTCCAGCAACGCGTGTCATGCCAGTTGTGTGGTCGCAAATGGCGTAGGTGCAGACTGGTCATTGAGCGCACTCCCACCCCATCAACAACGACGCATGGACTTGCGAGTCAAGATTGAGCGCATCGGTTACGCGCTGTGGGTCTCATACGAGGATGAACTGTCAGGCTGGAAGAAGCTGAGAGAGGTCACCTGGTTCTTCTGGGGTGTGGAAGACAAAGCCGTACGCGTTGGCGTTTATGCGAGCCGACCTGCAAACTTTGGCATCTCCATGTGGGACCGAAGACACGCTGCAGGACTGAATAGAGGAGACCGAGATCTTTGTGTTGAATTTGAAGGTTTGGAGATTTTCTAATCAAGAAAGAGACCGCCATGTTTAAGATTCCGTCGCCATGTCTTCTTCTCTTTGATTCATCGCCGCGTTTCTCAGCTGTTCATGCGGTTTAGGATATCTGCGCGTGGTTTCTCTCCTTGCTTCACGGACTTCTTTCATCCCTCCATCTCTAATCATTCTAATATTATGCGCGTCGTGATCATTTTTACAATTCATTTCTTTGTATCTATTCGCTTTTTGCCGCGTACGGCGTTGCTTCGGCGCTTGCCACAATCTTCAGCTCGTAACGTTGCACTCAAGCTGTGGCGACTCTTCATGCACTGCCACCCCTCCTATTACATATCGTGTCCATCTCACCGCTTCTTCGTATCCGCTTATTGTTGTTTTACATGATGGATAAGGATGAGCGCTGGTGTGCCATCTCATTTCTGACTTTGTCATCATCTTCCACCCTTGTTCATTATCTAGCATCTATCTATCTACATAATATCACATTTATTCGGTATTATCCTAAGCATGCACCCGATTTTAGTATGGAGTGAGCCTCATGCAGTGGTGTAAGTTGGATGTGCCTTTCGCATGTGTGATAATCATGTGAACGCGATCCTGCGAAGCAGGCGCGTTTGTTTACTGAGCTCCACAACAACATCATACTCCTTACGGCGATAAACGCTCAGAGATGCAAAGTAGAATTGAAGAGAATGGCAACAGTCATGATGGTCAGATGTGCACCAACGACAGACACAAACGTTGCGTGCAAACAACGAAGCTCATCTTTAGTCTTGCGACTCCGAGAAACATGCTTCATCAGCAGACTAGAAGAACACAAGTTCCGCCTTAGACGACGCCACAATTTGACTCTTGACATTCCTTTCGTACGAAGATCTTTCACACTCGTCCACTCGCCACTTCGTCTTAGACGCAAGTTCTGGTACTCCCAGCTATCGCAATGTCCATGGAACTCCTGCTGCTAGGCCTACTGCTATTTGCAGCTTGTGGAACTAGTTGTACTCTAGTGGAATCTCAACCGGTTGTTTCTGCGGACGGAAACTCTGTCGAAGGCTACGCCACACGATCTTCAATTAAAAAACACGCTTCATTACCTCGGCGCTCATGCTCACAAAAGAGCATGCAGGTGAACACAGCCGGCATGCTGGCTCAGATACCTAATGTAGATCCCAAAGTCGCGTGTTGGGCTACTCCTTTCTGTAACTCGATGCTTACAGATTTCGCATACTGCTACAACATGACGGGAAGTATGAAGGATCCCAACGCCGATGACGGACGGAGCGAGATATACCAACGCTGTCTTTGCAACGGCAGAGGGGATACCTACAAAGAGTAAGCGTCCGCGCTCCTTCATTCACCAAGAGTTCACCATCTCTAACATTTCTGACATAGCATTATTTCGAGCGACGGAAAAGTCGAGAAAGACAATGTGATGCAGTGCTATGAGTGTCTGGAGCAAGCTGGCGTCGATATTGAAGATATCAATCAACCTAGCAGACAGCTTGAATGGAAGATACATGGCTTCTGCAACACGGCAACTCCAAACCTCTACGACCTTCTCTTCTCATTCCTAGTCTGGCTCAGGTCAACGAATGTACCGGTCGACCACGACAATGGATTGGGCAGGGTATCAGCCATCTTGACGCTTTCCAGCCGCTTCGGGAGCACAAGTGGAATGAACCAGGCTACTGGAATTGTCAGCCTGCCTACAAGTGTGCCAGGGGGGTGGTCGCCAAGTACTCGTACATCTGGAGACGCAATACCAACGCAGTATCTACAGCAGTTACCAAAGAACTGGCCTTACACAGCTTATGGTGTAGCGAGAAAGGCTGATCAAACTACCTCTTTCCCCTTGACGGATCCCAGTTCGACGGGTGTAACGACGGCGTGGCTCTACTACAAGATAGCTTGGAATCCGCGACCACTATTCACTCCGGCAATAGCGGGGAACGGCATGTACCAACCAGCGCTTCAAGACTGGGTGCCATCTCTTTTAGATGCAACAAGTCCCATGTTGCCCACACTTACGTCCACAGTCATACCCATCACGCCTCTGATAACGGCACCGACGTCCTTCATCGTAGGGCAGCAGAGAAGACAAGGGCTCACAATGGATGATATATGGAGTGAGATAGAGAGGGTGAGAGAGAGGCAATTCGACACGCAAAATGAGGGAACCAAGAGTATGTAGCATGAGACTATTTGTATCATAATTACGTATTAACTATACTATATATCAACCTTCCAAATTGAAGGATTTTCTGTGTCGACACGGTTTATCCGAGAAACGCCAACCCAATGCCCTATGTACAAGCCCCATGAACAGGGGCTGATGAAACGTATATACATTACCCGTATCAGTCTTCTTTTATCGTATACCTATATCTTGACCTCAGCAACAAGATACGGACCAATGACACAGATGGCTGTCCAAACAACCATAGCACTCTCAACGCACAGCGTGTATGGTGCTTTGTAGATTGGCACCTCCTGCAACCGAACCCAGATGGCATAGAAGGCGACGTAAAAGAAGTGCCACACCAACATCCAGGGATGGGTGATGAGACCAGCGAGCATACCACAAGGCTCACTGACACTCTTGCCGCCGCGGAGGAAGTACTTGAAGCAACCCTTCTTGATCAGCTCTAGGTATTGGTTGTTGGCGGCGAAGAGGCTGTAGAGAGCCATGGCCAGAATGTTGATGACGGAAGATCCGTTCTTGCGCTGCCAGTGGAAGGTGGACATGGCGGACAAGACGGCGGATGTATCCTCTAATGTGGGTACGTTGGCGGGCGAGAGGAGGTTGGAGAGGAGGACTACGTCATTGAATGCAACAGTCATGCCGCCACCAGTGAGGGGATGTCGCATGTTCATGGCATCACCCAGGATGATGAGTCCGGCCTGCCTCTGCGTCGAAGGAGGTAGGAAACTGTTTGGCATTGAGCGCAGTTTACCGGCTTCGATTGCTTTGCGGAAGGCGGGTTGGACGCATTCTGGGAGTTGGGGCAGCGCAACATTGAGCATGTGGTTCTTGACACCTCCGTTCTTGGGGCTGGCTGAGGGCAGATTCTCGGGTATGTCGACGAGGATGCGGGTTTCGTGGGTGCCGATTTGGTAGATGAGGATTGGAGGTGCGTCGGCGAGGATGACGTGACCATGGTTTGGCATGGGGAGTTGGGCGTCGATCATCTCGAGGCCCCAGAACTTGCTGCGTACTTGGGGCTGGTGAGGGATGAATTCTTTGCGGAACTTGGAGGCGTAACCATCTGCCACGAGGGTGACGGCACCAAAGTAGTAGTCTTGCTCTCCGGCGGTCTTGGATGATACGCCCACGACCTGGTTTGTGTAGTCACTCTTGACCATGGATTCGACGGTTGTTTCAACAACAGTGACGTTGGGCGTGGCCTTTGCCTTTGCACGTAGCTTGGAGATGAAGCGGCCGTGGTGGAAGGATCGTCCTTCGGGTGCTTTCGAGGGCGCAGATGTGAGGAGGTTGTCCGGGTAAGGGATGTGGACCTCTTCCTTGCCGTAGAGGATCTGGTAGCCGTAGCAGGGAATGGCGTCAATGTCGTCGAGGCAATCTGTGGTACCATGTCAGCGATGCATTCTCGACCTCGACAGGGAACGGGTAGCCGTACCCCTCATGCCCAACTTCTCCAAGGCATTGACGCCGCCAGGTTGCAGCAGCTCGCCTACAATCCTATCAGGCTCCTTTAGGCTCTTCTCGAGCAATATGACGCTCCTGCCCTGGTTGCCGAAAGCGACAGCCGCTGCGCATCCAAGAATACCGGCGCCAACAATAACGATGTCGGCCTCATGGTGCACGCGCCGCCTCTCTTCGCGGTAGTCGTTTGTGTGTGTGGATTCGGTCGTGGGTACGGATTGCGTCGACGTGGTTCGCTGTCGCAGCTGTGGAGACGGCGATGCAGAAACTCCAGGCGGCAGCTCTGCAAGCTTGGTGCCAGAGTACATTGTGAGCATGGTTGCGGTTGCTGGGGGTCTGTTGAGAGACCCAATCGAGTGCTGGTTGTTTGGTTGCGCGTGTAGCGAGGTGAGTGCCCGAGGAAGGTGCGTTCGGGAATCGGTGGGGTGGTTAATGCGAATGCAATGGAGATGTAGGCAGCGTGGACGAGTGTGGAGATGGCGCTCAATCAGCCTTGCCGAAACGTCACACGGCTAAAGAGAGTAGAAATAAACTTCACGGGACGTCAAGACTCCTGTAGATCCAGGGTCCAGCAGGGCAAGCACGCAGTCTTGGAGACAAATCCGAGTGGCGACCTCACGATCTTAAGCCGCGAGATTGGTGACAGGGATCGCCCTCACCGCCATGCCATGTTCTGCCAGGGGTACCGTCGCCGCCTGCGCGACATGGCGTGAACATCATCTCATCGCACCCGATGATTTCTCGCTTTTTTTCTCGAACGACTGTCTGCCCGTCCTTCGGGAATTCGGTACTTTGCAGCGTCTTCCTCCTGCCGCGAGGCGCCGTTTCTGGTGGGTCAACAGCTCGCTGTACCTGCATATCTTCACATGCTCGGCTCCGAGCTACCACATCTGTAAACTCTTCAGTCACACATCCACGACGTTTAGCTGCTGGTGATCTGTCGCTCTAACCACCCTTTCATTTCGCCCAAAACTCAATCATTTGGAATTGAAGAATCGTCTCTTTCGAGCTGTATATATTCAAGACGCTGCATGAGCAACGCCGCGTACCCAAGGGTACTGTCTAATAGAAATTACGAATAAAGCTAGTGAATGATGTGGTGTAGTAGGTATGTAGCATTGATGCAAGAAACATGCGTCTCGTCGTAGTAAACCTTCTGCCTTTTTGTTTGCCCCTGCGTGCGCGAGTCCGATCCATCATCGAACCATATAAGCCATTGTTTTGTCGTCAGCGCGTCCGAGGTAATCCGCCCAGGTGAAGGAAAGGTAGAAAGGAAAAAGTCGAAAAAATAATATGCACGGGTGCAAGTCGAAACCCGAACCAAACGCCTCGTCGATAAAGGCTTGCT